ACCTGGACGTGGTTGTATAGATCAGATATTCACACAACGTCAGGTTCTTGAACACAGACACAAGTTCAGACGCCCCACAATGGTAGTATTTCTCGACCTTAATGCAGCATTCGACTCTGTTGATCGTGAGGTTCTATGGCAGTGTTTGTCACTGAAAGGAGTACCAAAGAACTACATTAACCTAATACAGTCTCTCCACCCGAACACAACTGGTTGAGTGAGAGCCTATGGGGAACTGTCATCAGAATTGATTACCTCAAATGGTGTTCGTCAGGGCTGTCCACTCTCTCCATTCTTGTTTAACTTTGTCGTTGGTATGCTTTTAGCGACAACACTTTCCTCATCTAGATTTCCACGGGTTGAACTTCTACAGGGAGATTCACTTTTTGACCTAAAATATGCCGATCACATAGTTCTAGTTGGTGAAGACGCTCACAAAATGCAGAGTCTTCTGATCACTATAAGCAACAATGCAAGCATGTTCGGGATGCGATTCTCTCCCTCGAAATGCAAAATGTTGATTCAGGATTGGGTTACATCAACACCCGAACTGATGATAGGGAGTGAAGTAGTTGAGCATGTCGACCGCTTCACTTATCTTGGAAGTCTCATCAGCCCTTGTGGTTTGGTGTGTGACGAAATCTCAGCACGGATACAGAAGGCTCGACTAGCTTTTGCCAACTTGCGTCATTTATTGTGTAGGCGAGATATCCGTCTATCAACCAAAGGACGTGTTTAATGCGCAGCAGTTCGTTCCGTCCTACTTTATGGCAGTGAAACATGGCCGGTAAGAGTAGAGGATATCCGTAGGTTACTAGTATTCGATCATAGGTGTCTTCGAAACATTGCTCGTATATCCTAGGACCATCGAGTAAGTAACACAGTTGTTAGGAAACGGGTACTAGGTAAGGATGGCAAATCAATTGATGAAGTAGTGAAACTTCATCAGTTGAGATGGCTGGGACATGTGTTACGTAATACCAACCACCGACTGCCCTAATGTGCGATGCTTTATGATGTAGGAGTAGGTTGGAAGAAAACTGGAGAAGGCTAGACCAAAACACTGCACAAGTCCATGAAGTCACTGACAAGTGGATTGAGTCATGTTGGTAGGTGTAGACTACCTGGTTGGGGACCACGAGATGATAGCAACCGATGGTTAGAGACCCTGAATGACATGGCTCAAAATCGTTTGGAATGGCGTAGGTGCATACACTCTTTGTGTTCTCCCAAATTCTAATCTTCTGAATTCTTCATGTCCCTTTTTTCCTCTTTCCAAATTTCTTTCACTGGATTATACTCTTTAAATAACATCTCCAAACCCTAATCTTCCCTATTACTGCTTATACTCTTGCTACCTCTACCACTACGCAATTTGAATCGACAAGTGCATCTCTGTGCTAATGTGGTGTGGCAACTCGAACTGATGTACGTACGTACGAAGTTCTACTTTGTTACTGACTGACTGATCTTTGCCGTTTTCATTGCCATCGTTGATGGGTGCATAACATTGATTGTGATTTGCTCCTTATTTGTACAGAATGATGCTTTGATGGCTCTGGATCCATCAGTTTCCCATACTATGAGTGTATTGCGGGCTTCTTTGAACAGCATCAGAGCAACTCCCTGAGTGTGTAGAACACTGTTTATCGTGGAATACAGCAGCATCTCTCCTGAATGTAATTTTTTTCACCCATCTAGGATCCAATGTGTTTCAATGATTTCGAGCACTGTCGAGTTTTATGTCCTCGTTCCGTATCTATTTGATTAGTCCCCTCGGTATCCCACATTGTGTGGCAATTCCATGTACCTATGTTAATTGTTGCTGTGGTTGACAGAAGGGTCATCAGCCTCATGACTTCCAAAGAATCTCGGCTTTAATCACGAAGTGTCATGATTGTTCCTTTAACTCGTAGGGCGGAGTTTAACTTGCTTAATTTGTTCAATCTGGTTGGTGTTTGTCTAAGAAAATTGTTTTCTGTGGGGTGGGGTTGTTGACCCTTTGCCGAACCCTACTTTGTGTGGTCCTAGGACCAGAAGTAGCTCAAGAAAAGCCACAAGCTGAATCAGGCTATCGTCGAAGGACAGAATCGTCAGAGTTGGAATTGCTGGTGATAACAACAGGACTAGTTAACGTTTAAAGAAACCGTTCATAATCCGCAGCCATTCAAGTAAATCACATTAGAAATCGATGTAATTCGAATTTCACAGCAAACTGGCGTTAATTGCATATCAACTAATAAATCAGTATATACCATGTACTAGGCTAATAAATCCACTTACCAGAACCATTGATATGCTAATGATGGAGGTGTTCGAGCCCGAAATCTGCTTATATTCAAATGCGTTAGGCTCAGTGGTACCCAATCCATCAATAATCGATCTATTCCTTCACAGTTTATGACGCCATGAGATTCTGGGTATATATCCAGATATTTCAACTAAGTCACACTCTACACTGACATTAGTATGACCAACAATTTATCCGAGTCCTTCAAAATGTTTGCGTGCACCGTGGTTATACATGAGATTAGATTTCAATAGGTCCAGATATTTACTATACACCGATGTACCAAGTAACCCGAATTTTTAATAAGCGATGCACAGTTGTCTTTATCCTTATTCCAATTCATTACACTAGCAGGTTCTTCTGATCGTCTGGATAGATTGGTGACCACATTACATACCTTTGTAGCGTGGCGTCGAGTTGTGATTAACTATGAACACCGCTACAAAGAAACACGTGCCAAGTAAATCAGAAGGCGAAGATCGAACGTAACCAAATAAATCCATAAAATCCCCGAGAAGCCAAATATCAGAAGACAGTTAATGGACCAAATCGAGATATATTCGCTGGCGATCTCGTGGCATCGAAAAGATACCGAGATCGTGCCAGGATAGAAGCTTGGTTACAGAACGTAACCGAATTCGTGCGAAGTTACAATCAAAGTGTGTGTATAAGAATGGAAGTACAATATAGCTGTCATTAGCACAGTCAAACAAAAGCACATTAAAACAAGCACTGGTACAGTTGGTTATAATAATAATTGTTTTTATTAAACCAGTCGTGTTCTCGTGATAAATGTGAGTCACTACACCTTCATGCATATTTATGAATTCACACATGAATGACGATTTGAGTCATCGGGAGAATATATTTACTGGCTGCGATTAAATTCCTTTGGGACCCATAAGCATTCCACCAAGAAGCGTGCGCACACTGAACCGATGCTTTCAATACTCGAGGCAATGCTCCGAAACCCAGTGTGTTTCTACAGCATCATATCCGATTATGACTCCAATCATATTCCTCCTTGTTCTCGAAAGAATTATATCCTCCTGGTACTTCCGCTGTTCCAAATGTTATTTGTTTGGTTGTCCTGCATCACAGATAAATCACCCTTTGATCACGTAATTTCTGCTAATTTGAAGTGTTCAACTTCCCGCTTCAAACTAGACTTACATGATTTTGCTTCATGACTTCATAGACTTGACCTTCTTACTTTCCGCCTACTATACAAAGCACTAATTTTTTTCAGTCCGTACAATCTCTCTTTCTGACCACCTAGACAACAATCGCAACTTAAAGACATAGACTAGTTGCTTATCTCGTGCTTAACTACAATCTGGAGTGCATTTGTGCCGATTCGGCATTCATAACCGTTTTTAGTAACTTTAGATTTACATTATGCTAGACTCCTGTAACACTTTTTTAGAAAACTCTCCAACTTTCACGAAAGCAACCAGTTTGTCGATGTTGGTTTCTTTGGCATCCTTCATGGTCTTATCGGCAGCTTCTGCCATTCATCAAATTAGTAGCGCATTTATTCCTACACCAGATGTGAAGTTAACACTATACATATATTCCGTTTGTTTCAACATTGTACATATATATGGCAGAGCTCAAACACAATGTTAGTCAATTCATCTGCCGAACATCCAACAGGTTTATGGTTGAGTAACTAAATGTCACTTTCCAAATTCATCATAAAAAATCCCCAAACAACTTGTTCATACATTCTGTCCGCAACAAAGGCTTATGCTTGCAAAAACAAAAATACAAGGTGAAAATTAAGTTTGAGTTCGCTTGTACGTACATGAACCGAAGAGGTAGCAAGTCATTTAGACACATGTTACGCACCCCAGCTGTGATAAAATATATACCGTACTAACAAGTGTACATTATGATTCATTTCTTTCGCTGCTGCTGAATGACCACATGTGAGTATTCAGATGCAGTAGAACTAAAACCAAAATGTCAAAAACTAGTTTTCTGAGTGAAATGCATTGAAAATACTACTTATGACACAAAATCAGTGTTAGGAGCTTCCTATTTAGCTCGCTGTCGACTCAAGTGTCCAGACAAAATTAAGTGTGTAATTAATACTGGTTAAAAATTGTAGTGACACGAATAGACTCATCGCCATACTGGATTATTCTCTCAGATAGTGATATCACATTTTAGACATAACACGTATGTTACCATAAAGCACTATCTTCATTCAAAAAGTTGCAGTGTAATACGTGATGTTGGCACTTATTTGAAGCAAGAGAGGTTTAAAACAGCAGCACATAAATCAGAAACAGTGAACGTCTGGGGACGGAAGAAGCGAGGTACTATCAACGACGTATATTTATTTCAAGACACGAATCAGGCAATTCTGTTAGAATAAGAAAGGCATATCTACAAATAGGTCTCTTACATCATTTCGGAAGTCCGTTGTACTCAGGGGTTGTGCTTCTTCTAACACATTTATTCCCAATTGTCACGCAATAAAAGGTAGATTACATTAATAACACTAAATTTTCAGTTCTGATACAGAAGACCAGTTTAAAAATTCCGCTCTTTTAAAAACCACCATAGCTTCAGAAATACAACATAGCTAACAACAGCAACACGAAGAACATGAAAATATGTTTTTACTTCATCTTCCTGGCAATTCGATGGGCAATTCTAAGATACCAAAATTGTAGCCTGAGTACATGACCTTGTGTTGCTTGTTTGAATGTATCACCAGAGAATTAATAATATTCGAAGGCATTTTGCTGTGAGAAGATCCATATGATGAGGCTGGATATCCTGAGTTTATCTTGACCAAATTTAATAAGTTTGCATATTTGTAGCATTCTAACTTATAGGTGAGTGAAATTTAGTACACAATGATTTTGTACATTGCTTTGTACGACCTGTTTATTTTGTTACATTCACACCTGGCGATTGACTGTCTTTTTGAAGGTGTTTTTCACTTGCGAAGTTATGCGTACATTATCAATAATATTTATTTGCCCTCGGTAAAATCACTATGGATTGTAAAGGACGACTGTTGACGAACAACTTGTGCTATAACCTTACGTCACATATTATTACTCATGTTGTCTAGGAAATTTACAGTTCCCTAAATAGGATAATACTTACTTTTTTTCTGGAGCTCGCTCGTGTCTCATTATTAGACTCACATTCGTATTATATGTCCTGGTTATGGTTAATCTAACCAGTCATGCATCGTAGAACTTGATACATTCATTGGTTTTAGCTACCGCATCACATAATAACAATAACAAAATTATCAAGATAAGTCTTCTAGTGGTAAGGGTCAGTAGTAGTACAATAGACTAGGTTTAGGAAAATACGAAGGATTTGAGATATTGGGGTTATTGGGTCAAAGAATCCATCTGTTCTGTCGTGAATGGTTCTTGTTGATTTTCTGTCTTGAGTTTGTATTGTCTTTCTTCTATTCATTCAAGGCATCTATTTGTAGACCTATACTTTAAAAATGTCCATGTAATATGTCTGAACTCAATATATGTAGAATATAATGATTTTTCCTCTTAATTATCTTGTTGACAAGCTTCTTGTTCACTATCAAGTGCAAACGACTGTATTTATGTCACCAGTAGTTTGCTTACTGTGTTATATAATGGTCTAATAATACTTGATCACAATACAATGCATTTTTGGTCGGTCCAAAACTGAACAGCACTTAAAAATATTGAGCAACTGATCAGACAAACGTATTCTTTTATAAGTGAGGATACTTGTACACGAATTAATTGTGCAAAGAAACAATTTCCAATATTTCTTTACAGTATACCGTGTCGGTATGCGACGATATAAAATTAGTTAAGCAGTTTTATTATCTTGATCTCCATGTTATCATATATAATCACTTTAAGTAATAAGGTCATTGGTTTTATCTTCGCTTTCGTCCTTGTAACCAGCTGATTAGGATCATTCTACATTGTGAGATTTCAGCTTCGGTCTCTAAGGCATACTAGTTTAGTCTTAACTTTATGAACTATTTCAACTTGAAAAATTATAAGTATTATCTTGGTAGGTCATCATTATTGAACCTGAGTAGTTTAGGATGACTATGTAGTACGGATAATTGGCTTGCGTACTCATATATATATAATCTATACGATCCGGTGGCTGGCTATTGCGAATTTCCATTTCGATTCATTCTTAGTCTCACCATTATTTTCGTAAATGAACCTTATGACAGTTGGAAGAACAGAAATGAGCTTAAAAACTGATTACTTGGATGGTGTTCAGGTATACTGATTTGAAACCACGTGAATAATTGATTTGGTGGTGGAATCCCTGCTCATAAAACACAGGAATAGTAGATTCATCGTCTCAGAGTTTCTTTACTTCAAGTGCTTCTTGTGTGTTAACGTTCTCTTACCATTCGAAACGAAATCGTACTTGTCTAGTGCTTTCACAAAATGATTCACTCGCAGGCATTTCGAACTTTCAGTCTTCAGTAATAAGGATAGTAGGTTGATGAACCTGTATTAATCCTGACACACTGCTTTCCAGTGAAGGTCCAGCTTCTCCATGAACCCTAAACGCTTCATATTCTTTTTTAAAGTTGCGATTTAACCTTGGAATTCTAATGATTAAATAATATAGTTTAATATTTCTGAGTTGAAATGTCTACACAGTGCGACCTATCATTGTAATATAACGCCCTCAACTTTAGTACGTAAAGCAAGATCAAGTGAATGCCTTTGTGCCACTGTAGCTGGTCTTAGAATATATCACACAGTGTCTGTGATCGTCCTCGGTTAACGTTCGAACCTAACACGGCGGCTCAAAGTGGCACGTAATAACTTTATAAATTAATGTTGTAAAAAAGTTAAACGAGGAGTATTCAAACGCTTGAGGTTAGTAAAGGAGACTATTCAGTAACAAAATTTTGGTTACTATTTGAAAGACTTGAAAGGTTGGAGTTAGTGGTGATTTATGAACACTAATTACTACACTAAAGATGTATTGGTGTTTAATTTTAACTTAAGCTTAGTCATTCAATATTTAGCCGCGTGTATAGTATATCCCGCCTACTATTGACCGGTGTAAGAATACGTTGAAAGGGAACTAATGGTGGTCAAAACAAAACAAAATATCAGTCCGTGGAGTCATTGACTGTTGGATTGATCTGAGTAGACCGATAAAGACTATCTGGTTAGGGTCCATCTGACTATCGTAACCAATAGTTGGAGGTGTTTGATGATATATCTCAGAAGTGTTCTTAACAAGACAGACCTATTCACTCTTTGTCTTTTGTTACGTCTTCAGTTTTGAAGTTATCTTATGATTTTCTATTCCGAAATTTCATGGTTTCTTCTCGAGTCACACCGTTTATGGCTACTGTTTTCAACCACTACATATACTGTTGCTTTATCCACTACCCTAAGAGTTGTCTTAATAATTTAATCTTTTTGTGCTCATACGGCGTAAGGATCGATGCACATATGTGCTAGGTCCCAAGTGTGAGTGATTAACTAATTTATTCAGTAAACTATTGCAATGGAACATCGAAGTGAATCAAAAGTAGAAAATGATTAATAGGTTGAACTGTTAGTGCATGTACGTAATATGTGAGGTAACTAACCTATCAAACATCTACAAATTTGTGAACTACGCTGTGATTTCTAAGACGGTGTGGGCTTGCAGGATATAAACTAAAAAAACTATCTGAAAACTGAGTGAACAAATCAAGTAGCCTCACGTGCATAATCAAAAACTAACAAAATATTCTACTTTAATTACTTCCGTATCACGTTTCAAATCTCAAAAAAATAATGCATCATAACATGGTAACTTAACATGACAATCTTTCCATAATTATATACCATACACTGTTAGATTTAAGTTTTATTTGGTTTGTATTTTTATCAACAAGCTTTGTTGTGCTAAAACAAACAGAACACAGATTACAGTTTCTTCTATTATGGCGAATTTATAGTGCATCTTAGTCTTCTACCATAATAGCTTTATTTTTCTCAAACCTATTTCGGCTTTGACCAAGTACTGACAATATCTTTTACACAGTACGATACGTAAACATATACTTAGTAAATAAATCATACTGGTTATCGTTATTTAGCCTTTAATACATGCCCTACAGTTTAGTAAATGAGTTAGTATATGACATAATTCTCTGCCTTTAATATAATAAAGAGGGAACGAATTGAGCGTTCCTCCTTTATTTGTCAAATGTCAAAATGGGAATTTTCACTTTAATATAATAATAAGTACATACTCTGAAAATAATAATCATAGAATTCATGCCTGTAAACTGGCATGATCAATTACTGTACGGCAATAGTCGTAAGGAACGTGTACCATCCCAGGTCGGTTTACCATACATTGTATGTCTGACAAATAACACTGATGTACATGTTGTTTTACCCATCTGGAGTAGTGGATCACTGGTTAAGACATTCGACTTTAAGTTACCAGGTTGCAAGTTCGAACACCGCTCTACTTCAATCTAGACTACCATTGTCACTACCCCTTGTACTTAGAATGTGAATTTTACCTTGCAAGTGAGTTAATATTATCAAAACTCATTTGAAAATCTCAATTGAAACTATTGCTTGATGACATTAACGTACAAGGAAAAACCCCCAACATCCAGCATAGCGCCTCTATCTATATTAGTTAGAGGAGGTACAATAAATATGTCTGGTGTTTGAAACTGCATTTAATTATTGAAACTTGCAGTAACATGGTCGTTAAACGTACATAACTCAAAGCTGATAAATACTTAAAAAACAATGATAATGGACAAAATGAGTCATATGTTAAAGTGGATTTTTAAAAAATCAATTAGTGAGAATAGATAAATATAAAAATTGACTTGTAAAATCGGAATCCATACTTAGTACTAACTCATTTCACCGAAAGTTAGGTTAACAAGGTAATGTTGTTTTTTATCGCGGTCTTCAAGAAATAGTCTAAATATACACACTTAGTCTATCGATTATTAGTTAATAAATGTAGTTTATCAACCAACTACATGTTTTGGAACTGAGATTTAGTAATACTACCATACTAACCAAATGAAACTGAGTGAGACGATTTTCGAAATCAAGAATAAAACAGATTGAATTCAAGTGCATCACTGTGGTCGATTTCCAATCAGTTCCTCTGTTATCTACTACGATAGGATACGATAATTCGGCTCATGACGCCTTGAAGTCTGTGTTTACCGGCACCGCTCAAAATTCGTCAATCGATGCGATGTTTTGGTCGGTTGCTTTGTGTCTTGTCAGATCTATTCCTCTAAACTGATTTCTTGTGACAACGTGGATTGATGCATGTTATTTTTCTAGGTTTCATATTAATTATAACTGCATACCTTAACTTTTTTTCGGACTTATTTCTATCAGCCAGCATTGTGTCCAGAACAGGAAGTGGCTGAACAAAAGTTGCTCGTGTCCCAGGCTTTATAACCGATGAAGGTTTATGGTTACACTCGTAAATTTGATGTTTTTACCTGATTTACTATTCACAGCCCCTCACTACTCATCTTTTTGCGTTTTCATCAAGCGTAATAAATACGTTGTAAGCAGTCGTAATCAAATACTCTCAACCTTAATTTTTCTGGCTTCATGGGCTATGATTAATGTATGTTGTTCAATACAGAGTGAACTGTTACTCACTATACTCGCAATTGATAGGTAGGCAAACATCTCGCATGTGCTAGAAGCAGCACAAATTGGCTGTGATTATGCGTGCTTCATTGTATCCATACAGAGTTTTCATTCAACAACTCGTCATTGACTAAATGGGCTTCCAAGATAAATCATATAATCAGTGCTGTCAACCACTCCACTTCCATCCATGAATGTAGACTAGCTCTCAAGCTTCATTTTGTGTTTAAAATGATAAAAACCCTATTTATTTATTTATTTGAACACATAAATATTAGTATAAAGGGGCACCGAACACATATGCGTCACATAAGTCACTTGATTTGTGTGTGGCCTGTGATACTTTTGATGGATTTTTGTTCTCTGAGCTGGATTGTTTGGTTGTGGATCTTTCATCGTTCTTCTGAACGACACTATCAGCACAAACGTCAGGTAGAAGCGAAGTGTTCGAACTTCTGTGATACTACCCAGGTACCTTGAGCCTTCGACCTAAAGTTCTGATCCACAAGGCAATCGAGCAACGTCGAGAGATGCAGTCTCATGGTAGCCGGTGACCAACAATAGGTTCATACGCCATTTGTTCCCTCAGGATCATGGAGCCTATGTGCACCATCGGTTTAGAATCAGGGTTTTCTAACTCCCCTACGTGAATCTTCTATATCCACCAACGTGGTCAAAGCGCCTGACATTCGCTTTTCGTCCTCAATTTCGTGAACAACACCCGTGTTACGAGAAGGCAATGAGTAGGATTTCCCTGGTAGTGGATGTGTACTTGTGGCTATGTGAGAGCATTTCGAGAGGGACAGCTAACTCTCTCCACCCTTTGCCTTACCAGGGCATAAAGCCTTATTATTTGAGGTTTTCAAAAGACTGTACTATGTCATTACTGTCACTGAACCGAACCATGTCATCTGCATACTTCAAGTGAGTGAGCCTCGGTAGGAAATCTTTCTCTCTTACAGGTTAGACATAGGAAACATCTGGTTTCCTCAAGCTTCATTTTACTGTGTTTAAATTATTTAGTTAACTTTTATACATGCCTTCGTTAAATGCCTTAAATAGTTTTTCGTATAGAGATTTTAAATGTGATTTTTTTTCTTTTTATAAAGGGATAATGTCTGCTTTAAAATTAGAAGATCCCACGGTAGATGTCGGTGATATAGAAAAATACCGTATGGCTTTTTTAATGCAGTTTTTTGTACAACACAAACGAAGATTTCGATTTCCACGTCTTCGCCTACAGGTATTTACTTGAGTATTTTATCCAGATCTTCAATTTTTATGGTTTATCGGTAGTAGATAGTGTGGTTTTTATTTTGTGAACTGTTAGTTCTAGTTTTCAATTTCTTCCCTTTGTTGTTCAGAGGTAAAATATTCCAATTTATGGTACTATTTGAGGTGGTTATTTTACAACATAGGACTGTGGAATGAGAGGTATTTATGTAGAGCTCTTATTTATTAGTTTTCCACGACTCCCTAGGTGGGTTTCTATGGATTATGCAAATCGATGTTTTGAGACTTTATCAGACATAGCTAATAATAAGGGAAACTAGTGATTATCCCACCATAATTTCCCATTACTTTCATCGTAAAATTTTAATGAAACTTTTAATCTGAGTAATGTATATCATATTTATTTTGTTAGTTAATTTATTCATTCATTTGTTGATTAAATAAATTTCAGTTCTATTTCTACTGAATATCATTTGAGTGTGCATGTGGCATATTTTTTTCCCGGCTCCTATTGTTTGAAAATACTTTTGGCTATAAATAAATAATATTAGCTGTCTAACTTTCTATTGTTAATCGAACTGAATAAAGTTCCGAAAACGTTTACTCAATGATAATTTTGCTCTGTCTTGTTTAATTCATCGGCAATACATTAATTAAAAGTTTTGTATTCAAGTTAGACAGAAGAAAGGAAACACTATTCGTTGTATTTGTATAGTAAGTTAGCTTATTACTTCTTTAATAAATCTTTATATGGTATCAATCCAATAATCTTGGTTTATCATTGTCTTAACTTAAAATCTATCACCTGATATTCAACTAGTATAGCCATTGAGTTTTAACATATTTTCATTCATTAAGATATTGATCACCAGGGAATAGATACTACTCATACTATAGTTCACAATTCTGTACATATTTTCCAATTCACACATCTTGAAAACGTTATTTGAAAGCGGTAGAATTATCTGGGTTTCTCATCGTAAACTTACTATTTTATCCAGAATTCACTGATTTTTATGAAGCTGTAATACTTCGAGAATACTGAGATTAAGGTCTTATAATTAAAATTCGATAAATTTGATATTCGTGAAATCATTTTCTGTATATATCTATATATTTCATCTAAGAAAAATGCATAGTATGATTGGTGTACAAGTAAGCTAGCAAAACGCTAGGAGAAGTTAAACTAAGACATATCACTAGTTCGTGAAATCTTTGACAATTGGAGTGAACTTTGCTGATCGGTTCAAACTACCTGGTTAGGTTTCACATATTTACCGTAATGAATGGTTAGCAACGTGTGGTGACATTGCTCAAAATTATCTTTAAGGACGCGAGGGCATCCAATCTTTATTTTTCCTTAAAAATTGAGTCCCTCAATTTTATAACTTTTGTTTTTTTATTCTATACCTAATCTTTCCTAATACTACTGATACTGTTACTACTTCGGGATTTGTTTTGACAATTTTATCTCGCTATAGTAATCGGGTGTGACAACTTGAACCGATATACATATGTGTCAAGTTCTATTTTGCACATAACTGATTAACTAAATCAACTAATTTTACAACAGTTTTGCCTGTAAAAGGGATAAGCTTAAAATAGTCGTGACAAACTTTAACCAATCAGAAAATAGTTATTGTCAATAAATAGTCTATGGATCGAAATAAAGCAAATTCTTACACAGATAAGTCAAAGAAAACAACGACCTATCAGTTTATCCACATAAATGTAAAATATTCACGTTCTTAAACTCTTATAAAGAGATAAGTTTCCAAATTGTTCCTAATTATGATTTAAGGATAAGGTTAATTATGTGTTAGATGCAATCTGTACAGAAAGTATTGAACATTTGCTATATTTCGTTTACTCTATGATGATAGAAAATAGTTTCTAGTTATTATTTTACATATTCTATGCATTATACTGACTGACTGAGTCAATCAATCAGTAACAACGTAGAACTTCGTACGTACGTACATCAGTTCAAGCATTATACAAAGATATGTCAGTTGTGTTATTTTATGTGATTCAAGATAATAGTGATCGATTGTTTTTAATATCCCTCACTTTCTCAACTTTGATTGACTAACCTCTACACTGTATTTTTCTAATTTTATCATCGGCAATAATAATAATAATCTATTCTGTAAATAATTACAAAATTCATGCCGATTTATAAACATGATCAAGTTGATACAGGTAGCAATGTTATGTATAAATGACAAATATTTAATTTTTAATTTTTCGAAGTGGTCAATAATTGTTTAGGTAGGGATTATGAGGTATTCTTTGAGAACTACTAATTCTTTGTTAGTCGACATACTGTTGATGTATGAACAGTGTATTTGTGGTCATTTCCTGTTCGAAAATTGAGTGATTATAGTCATCTGTAACCGGGTACTATGAAGTTTTATATTTCCTAACATTGCTCCACTGTCTTGTGGATCAGATCTATAGGTGAAAAGCTCGGTCAATGATTCATTAGGAAAACCATCTGCTTTGGTTTGGCCAACTAGGCAGTTTCTCAGTTCTTACATAAATTTTGTGTGGTGCATGTTTATTTTAGTGACCCTTTGTATCAATGTTTGTGTCTAAATAAATAAATTATCTACAATTACAGAAAAACCAGAAACAGAGCACAGAACAACAACAGTAATAATTACTATGATCAGTCTATTGTTATGCATGTTCCAGGTTGTTTTATGATCTACTGTTAGGAATAAATATGATTTCAGTCAGCGAAGTTTACCAGAGACGGCATAAGTGTAAGATATATACAAGTAGGGAAGTTTGATGAATGGTCACGGTAATAATAATGATTAAACATTTATCTCTCCTCTAATTCCACTGGTGAAATGGGATATATCTAAAGGTTTACGAAGATGTAAGGCAATTTTCAGATACAATGAACAATTGATGAAAGTGATCTGATTTCACGAACATATTGAGGCATATTACTTCAAAGCCTCAAACCTTTTCTGATAAATCGAGAAGATTGAGGATGAGATCGCTTCATTAATGACAAAGAGTTACGGATACTATAACTAGATGTACTTGGATAGTAGATTGTATCAGTGTATATAAAAGATAGTTTATAAAGTATTTTAAAGAGAAAGCAAAAGATTGAATTTCATTTCATTTCTCACTTCTATAAAGGGTCAAGTTCAAGCTCATTATATATCTAGATATATATAGTCAAATGTATAGTCATTCTCAAGAATACAAAGTGTAAATCGCCTCTAAATGAATGCCAACCTTGATTTATCTTCTTATATATGAACACTACTAAATAGTACAATTAACTCTTTTTATCCCCTAAAAATGGAAAAAAGATAGTTCAACTAATTTGTTATGTTTTTTTTTCAATAACACATTTGTCGATAATTCTTTCGTTAATTTCAATAATCTGTTAATCAATCGTTTTGTTTACCTCCCATGTATATATATCTATATATGTATATTCAAATTGAAAAGGGGAAAAAAAGTGATCGGATATTTTTCCAATAGTTGGACACTCTGAGTTCATGCGATTTTTATAATCTACATTTATGTTAGTGTAATACTACTATTACTACTACTACTACTACTACTAATAATAATAATGAAAGAACAGATCTAAATTGGTTTAACACACGAAAAAAGTAAAAATCAACAAAACTTATCAAAATTCATTTGTTGTATGTGGATGCATAGAGCTAGGGATGGCTAGACCAAAAACATTGCACAAATCTATGAAGTCACTGATAAGTGTACTGAGCCATACTGGTAGGTGTAAACTACCTGTTTGGGATCCATGAGACGATAGCAACCGATATTTAGAGACCTTGAATGACATGGTTCAAAATTGTTTGAAATGGTGCAGGTGTTTCCGATTACTGCTGATACTCTTGTTATGTCCCGATAAGCATAATGAATGGTACCTTTTCGGATCCATTTATGAACCAATACTATGTGTATATTTTTATCGTATAATTGTTAAATAACTAACCTATTCATATTCATATCCCTCTTATCACGAGCTTTATTTTGACCTATGATCTATTATTCTACGCTTTACCTTTCTTGAATTATGCCCTGTCTATTAATCATTACCTCTCACATTCACAGCCATATTCCGCCAAATATTGTACAAAAGTTGTTTCCTATTTTATGGTACGTTGTGGTCTGTTTGATTGGTATATAAACGCCGTATGTTTGAAATAAATGATTCATGTTGCAGAGGCTGAGAATGGTGTTCTGGACTTAACTGGTTGGGCTAGGCAGGAAGCAGGACCGATAATGACTCGAGACTGCTCGTACTTGTTTTATGCGTCGTTGGTCCGATCGATAATTCACTGCTCTCTAATTGGCGGCCACAGGTTTTAACAAATCTTACTACCTCTAGCACTATGGGATTTGAATCGACAATTGTCTCTGTGTGCTAATATGGTATGACAACTCGAACTGATGTACATACGTAAGAAGTTTTACGTTGTTGACTGTCTGTCTCGATGCATGGTACGTTCTTCATTATGTCATTCATTGTAGTTAGATTGATTTCATTCTAAACTGTACAATATTCAATTAACATTAAATTCATACATCTTTTTTATAGAATTCTTATGATTTTTAATGTTATCCCATAGATTTTCAGAAAAATAAATTTTCAGTTGATTTGATAAAATAATTTAATTTACATTTTCTTCTTAGTTATCGATACTACTTATAAACCTGTTTAGGCATTTGTATGTGTGTTTGTGTTGATGTTTACGTCAAATACTTTCATGTAAATTAGTAATATGTCTAGATTTTGTCTGTACACTAAAGGATACTAGACAATTAAATAATAACTTATTGTTGTCCATCACAACTATATACCATAGTTATAGTTATTTATAAACTCCTATATTTACTGCAATAAATGTATTCAATTATGAATCTAATTGAATTAAAATGTAACGATAAATTATTAATCCTATTCTTTTGCTGATAATTACTTTCCATAATTGATTCTTTTGTTTATTGATG